CATGAAGAGGATGTCGCCGAGGTCGCCGATGCCGGTGCCGCTGAGGTGCGTGTGGCTGAAGCCGAGGATCGAGCTATCCGAATGGTGATACCCCGCGCACGCGTCCCAGCCGAGCGTGCGCGTATCGGGGCTGAGCTGCACCATCCCGTACGGCGTCGTGGCGCCGGGGAAGGTGTGCCCGTGGCCGCCCGTACCGATGAACGGATTGACGTAGTGGGTGTTGTCAGCGATAGCCGGCGAAGCCATCAGCGTAAAGACGGCGACGAGCGGTACGACTTGTCGAGCGTTTCGGCGTGTGCAGGGTTCATCGTGAAGCATCGAGGTGTCGCTCATCATCGTTGTTCGTCTTCAGTAGCCGATACGGCGTTACTGTTTGGCTTGGCTTTCGAGTGAGAAATCAGCAGAGGTCGAACCGCCCGGAGGAACGTCGAACGTCAGCGGCGAGAGTCGGTAGTTGGTGTAGACGGCGGGGATAACTTCCGGTGCGTCGATAATTTCTACGTCCAGCTTGGTGGGATGGCGATGCGCCCGCTTCGTGCTGATGACAATGCGGTGAGGTCCGACAACGGCGCCGAGACGGGATTCTTCGTCAGTGGACGTAAGGGTGTATCGTCCATCGGCGTCTGTCTTGCCGCCTGAATACGGTCCTGTTTCGCCGTCCTCATTGCGGGACTGTGGCATAAATACAACACGCGCTTTGGCGACGGGCTGGCCGTCCAGCAGCACGCGGCCTTCGACCGGCGCAAACTTGAACTTGCTGTCGCCGCAGCCGGTCGTGACGCCAAGCAGAGTGAGCATCGCGCTAGCAAGAACGCTGTATTGATTGAATCGATACATCAGATGCCATCCTCCCCGGCGATGGTGGCCATCGCTTCGTAGAGTAGGCCATCGAGCGAAGTCGTGATGAACGCCACGGAACCATCGACTCGTAGCCAGTTGCCGCCGTCGCCAGCGTGCATTGAGCCGTAGGTGCGGTCGCACGCCCAGGACTCAGGCGCCGTGACGATGTTCCTTCTACAGTGATCCAGGTTGCCTGAACGCAAGAGTGGGTCGGCAAACGCCTCTCCTTTATTGAAGTTTCGATGGGTCACGGCCCACCATACTGGTTCAGGGTCGCCGTCACCTTCCCAGTGGTACTCACCGATCATTAACGACTTGCTGGCGCCATCGATCACGTTCTTCATCTTCTCGGGCTGGACGTTGTAGGCGCCGACAGCGTGTAGCAGCCCGCGATAGCGGTAGTTTTGCTTAATGACGGCCATCGCTGGATTGCTGGGCGGCCCCTTGGGGCTCGACCAATTGATCCACGCTCCGCCTGGTAGTTGTGTGATGACGCCTGCCATTGCTTTGTAGGAACCAGGCGCGGGCACTTGGTCGAGGTTGTTTGCCGCGAAGTCGGAGGGGCACTTCATCATTGCAAATTCGATGTCACGCACACGCTGGTTGTAGAGGCCGTCGCCGTCGGGATCGCCTTCTTCGAAATTGTGCTCAGTTTGGTCGTACCAGTCGTTGATCTGCTGCTGCTCAAGGAACGGCAATAGTTCGATCGCCCAGTTAGTGCCGTTGCAGTCTTCGTTGGGGCACAGAAAAGGGACTTGAGGCCGGTTGGCAGGGAGAACTCCCCATGTGCCGTAGGCCATCGCGCCGGGTGGGAACTCCCCCTTCGTGGATTCATAGTTCAGCGCCCCGAGGCCGAGCTGTTTCATCTGGTTGACGCACTGCGTACGCCGCGCCGCTTCACGGGCCGCTTGCACCGCCGGCAGCAGCAGGGCCACCAGGATGCCGATGATAGCGATCACCACCAGCAGCTCGACGAGCGTAAAGCCTCCGAGTCGGTATCCGCCGCTGTCGGAGCGGCTAACATCCTTCGTTGCGTTCGATAACGTCTTCATTCTTGCCTCTCCCTTGGGGGGCAGTGCCGGCCGTCGCGTTGGACGACGACCATGGTTCGCCACGAATCACGTTCAGCTACGCCGCGTGTCGATAGTCCCATCGCAGCCGTCACGATCAGGACGCCGATGAGCAAGCCGGCGTCGGGCTCGGGAACCTCGAGCAACGCCAGCAGGTCCGCCGACGCGGCGTCGGGGACGTTGGCGCGGACGTAAAACCAGTCCACGAAATCGACGACGCCGTCGTAGTTGAAATCAGGCATCGAGGTGCGGCTGGCGTACCCGCCGACGCGGACGCCTTCGTGCAGGTATTCGGCGCCCCACGCCTCGACAAAAGCGACGACATCGTCGCTGTCGAGGTCGCCGTCGAAGTCGGCGTCGCCGTCGATGAGGACCGGTCCGCCTTCGGTGGTGTGGGTGCGGAGCAGGTCGAGGTACTTGTAGCCGTAGCCCTCGTAGGTCACGCCGGTGGTCAGGTCTGTGCCCGTCTGTGAGTTGTCG